ATTGCCCATTCAAAATTAGAATATATTTAGCACTGTTTAATTAAATTAAACACTTGTAGAAATTTTTTTTATGATTGGGAGCAATCTCATATGTTTATTTCACATTGTTCTGAAATTGTCAGATGCCCAGATGGGATGTGGGAGGAAGGCCAGACAAGCCAACCTACTGAAGTTCAGACAGAGTCTGCAAATAACATAACTGCACAATATTGTCAGACCCCATATATGCTGCAGTGCCATAATTAGTGGGTGTTTTCCTACTGGTTGGTGACCTAAGGGACACAGTAGCAAAGCTAGGGGAGAAAACCCACTGTCTTTCCTGCAGTGACTGGTGAACCTGCAAATCAGGACTACATGATTCTGCATGGAGTTGCAACAGAGGCAGAAGAGGGATTGATGTAGACAGTCCATTTTATGCTGACATTCTTTTGTGCTGACACATAAAGGGATAGATTTTGCTTTGTCAATAATAAGAAAATGGCCATACTAATAATTTGCAATAATATATTCCTTAGTCCATTAACCTTCTATATTTATTTGAAATAATAACTAGATTTCCCAAAATGTGAAAAATGCATTGATGCAGTGTGATTAAATGGCACTGGTGGCAGATGAGTTTTTAATCTGTGCGGGTCCTGTCCTCTTAAATTCAGAGACCTTCCCCTTTTGGTAAATCCAGTGGTAAAGCAAGGAATTCTGATTTAAAACTTGAACTTTAAACCATGAGTCTACATGGCATTTGGTGTGAATATCCCTCCAAAAACAAATGGATCCAAATATGCCCAAAAATCAGAGGAATAGAATGCCAATAACTAGCCTATTGTTATATGCACCCTCAGTTTCCAAAGTAGTTGTTTGTTTGTTCATTTAATAAGCAATCTAATTATGCCTCTTTTAAAGAGGATGATACTGTTCCTCTTTCAAGGAGCCTTTATAATCTTCTGAATCCAGCTGGAAATTCTTCTGTTAGATAAGTCATGAAAGGCAAGAGGATATATACATGGTTGACCTAGTGCTTTGAATAGCTGGTCAAGTGCTTTATCCATATCTTAAGATAAGGAGTGTGCAACCTTTTGGTAGCCATGCCTCATATTTGGGAAGGCAAAAATCCATAGTGATTAGTGACAATGCAAAGTACTGTAGTTGGGTATGGGATTTTCTATTTTTCCTATAAGCATGCAGAGATATCTAAGAAGATACATTTTTATTTTTACCTGTGTTGTGTCCATTTTAGGGATAAAACTATAGTTGTTATGTTGTTCCCAGCTCAAAACAGCAATAACTTGTTCCTTCAATTTCAAAAATCGCAGAGGGAACTCCAAAGGCCACAAAAGGTTGTTCAGAGGCAATGGACTGATGGTGGGATTGTGGATTGCTCACCCTTATTGAAGCCCTAAGACTTCAGTAATTAAAACTCATCCTATAAAATAGAACAAAAGTACACTTGTAGAAATTTTTTTTATGATTGGGAGCAATCTCATATGTTTCTTTATTTCACATTGTTCTGAAATCTGTAAAATACCAAGCACCAGTTAATACATTGGTCAAACACCTCTCGTTTTTTTTTCTTTCGTCATCTTTTTTTCTTTTCGTCATATTGTGATACTGTGAGGTACTAAAGATTAAAAAAAGAGCATCATTCAGATTCTTATGTGAATAGAGGATTTATGATTCCATTTCCATGCCTGGTACAGAAGATCAACACTTTATACAGGTCTATGTGAATAAGCCCTACAATATTAATTTTAATATAGCGTGAAGCCAGCAGCCAGCAGCATGTGTCTAATGGCAGTAAAACTTTTCCTAACACTGTGCAAAATAAAATATTTTAATTATTTTTATTTGATTTCATTTTGTTAATGTATTATACAATAAGCTGGTGAAAGTGGCTTTGAATGCAATGAATTAAATCTACTATGAACAAATAGTGACGTCTTGGTACTTACAAACAAATGAAGAAGCTTGCACAGTGGATTTTTTCAATCTATAACTTAGATAAATTTGCTGTCCACCATTTGTGGATGTGAATTTGTAGGAAATAATTAAAATATAAAGAGGAAGAGCTAATTTTAGGATTAAAACTGAAAGCAGTTTACAAAACATAAGCTTTAGGGAACTGGGAAAGCCATGAAACAAACATAAGACAGAATGAAGTTTTCTGTTATAAAGATCTGTTGCTAGTGATGACTCAGTACTCTAACTTTAAAAAATTAGTTTTATCCACTGGCTTATGTTCTAATATGAAACGTATAGGTTGAAAGGTGCAGAAAAAGTAATAAAATGTGAATCTCTTCTATTTCTCATTAAATGAGAGCGTCGGCAACAGAGAGAGTTGGCTGTGGCAAATTGTTTTACTTAGCACCAAGGGAGAGTGTGCTTTATAGAGTTTCAGTGGCACAGCTCAAAGCTTGTATCTCAGAAGTTTCCATTTATATAGTCACAGGACACATTCAACAGCAAATTAACATATATTTGAGCAAATATAGCTCAGCAGCGTTACGTCAAAGACTTGCACACACTTGCAGTCATGGACACTTTTGAAAAGTTCCTTGCACACGTGCACAATATAAGTATACTTTCTCAAAACTGATTTAAGTCCACTTCTAGGCACTCTTGTGGCTAAGACTGTTACAAAGCACATAAAATTAACTCGAGTTCAACTCTGGACAAACTTATTCAAAATAAAATAATTATTGCTAATTCTTATTCTTGCTTCCACAAAACATCATCCATGTATCTTTTAATTTATAAACATGGAACCCTGCATTGGAAAAGACAGCCAGAGCATGGGCAAAAAAGTGCCACTTTTATAATTTATATATAATTTATATGCATTTATATAATTACTTCAAACTCCCAGAGAAGTTCATCCTAATTATATTCTGGCTGGAGAACATATTTGGACTGGCTTAGTCTCTTGCTTATTTGTAAAAAGAGAAAGGCAGGTTGAAGCCAGATCAATGTGATCCAAGAGGAAAGTGGTGTTTTGTATCAGAAAACACAATGAACATTTATGAACATTTGAATTTGTACAGAGGAAGAACCTAAGGGAGGTTGGCAACCGAAGGCCCTCCAATTGGCCTGCTGCAGGATAGGCCCTACCACCAACATCTGTCTATGGGGCTCTGTATGTCCATGGCCATTTGCAGTTTGGTTGCTTGAGAAAAGAGAGCTTTGTTCAGCAGCCTTTTTTTCCCCCCAGCAGGGGGAATATCAACTTTGTGGAAAACTTTCCCTCATGGAACTGCACTGGCAATGGTTCCCACAGTACCTGCCTATCAAATGCTCTGGCTAAACTGATCATCAGGCTTGCTGTAGACTAGACTGGTACTTAAGTGTAATGGACTGTGAGAATAATCTTGGGAGATAGGAGAAAGAGCCGCAGACTAGGCAACAGTCTGACAAGAGAGATCTCTGCCCACAAAAGGAATTGGGGTGGAGAAAGCATCTCAGAAGAGACCCTCTCTAGTTCTCTGAAAAGTAAAGGCAAGGAAGGAGAGAAATGCTTTCAGACCAAGATTTGGCTACTCTTACCTTACAATAAAGGTAGTGTTAGTGCTCACAGTTTTGGTTTCCTGCCTGGACTACCTGAAAGGCTGACATCAAGATTGGGATGCTCCCAGGATAGCTGATTTGCTCTTTGCACAAACCAGACAGGATTGGGGTTTCTTCTCTGGCTCTTGGGAGTCCATGGCATGGCTTGTGAAATCATAGCTCATTCAGGATCGCTCTCTGAATAGCTTCTCTTCCTCCTCTGAGTGACTGTAGAATATTTTTCTCTTTTCAAAAGGATTTGGTCCCCAATTCAGGAGCTTCAGCCCTCCAGCAGCAGCAACCGTTATGTGCAGGAAGCAACTCTACTGGCCCCATTCTGGAGATGGAGCAAGAGGAACACCCTAGGAACAGAAGTTTTTCAAGTGACATACTTCTGTCCTGTTTCAAGGATGGAAGTGTGCAGAAGACCTCCTGTCTTCATCAGCCCTGGATGAAAGAGAGGTGGTCCAAATATTATCATTCCCCTCAAATCCACATGCCCCCAGTCCTGCTGGCCTTCAGGAAAGCCATGAAGACCTGGCTCTATCAGAAGGCCCTGGGGCAGGGCGATTTGTAATTCTACTTGATGAATGTCATACAGTATTGTTTGTTCCCTGACAGAAGGTGTTAATAGTTTTGACTGTTGTTGTAGATGTTTTCCTTCTGTTTAAATTGTTTTTTATCCTGGCTAGGGTTGATTCAGTAACTGAGCCAGCTAATAACCCATGCAATGAAATAAATAAATCAATAAATTAGTGATACTTTTGACCAAATCTCCACATTAATCCTCTTAGCTGTTTTATTATATGTGTGTTCTATTAATCCCTGTGGAAAAAAGAACAGACCCCAAAAGTTGGCAACAAAGAAAGTCTCCCTTCGCAACACTGTTCTTATGGAACTGGCCACCTAAACAAAAGCAGAGCAACTACAAGCACTATTATTCATACATACTTTGGCGACCCACTTAGTGAGGAAACTGTGGTTGATGCTATCAAAATCTGCTAAGAATAGAGACCACAATTCACCCTCCCTGTCCCACTCCATCTACTTCCTCTCAGCAAAGGTCCTGCCATTGTCAAAACAGACTTGGTTTAATCTAGAAAATCTCCATAGTCCAAGTATGGCAAGAACCAATTAGCAATCATTAGTGTAAATACAAGACAGTTATATTTCTGTACATAATGCTACTTACTGTAGATGTTTTGTTTTACTGATGAGATCTGACATCCTAAACCACTGAAGTTCATGAAATTTAATTTTAGGTTTGGATTTCAAAGTTACTGCAAATTGAAAAAAAATCAAAATTAGTCCACTTGCCAGTATAAATTACAGGACAGTGCTTATACTCTCTCAGTAGTTAAGACTTCCATACAAGATAGGAAGAATTATACAAGGGAATGTAAGAAAAGGAATAATTCAGTGGTGAAACTGACTCATCACTAGGCTCTGCCTTCAGCTTGAAGCTATTTGCTTGATTCATTTCCGGTTGTCTCTGTTCATTAACAACGGAACTAAAGAAAAGTGAAATAAAAGACAAACAGAAGTTGTCAAACGGAATAGCCTTAAAACATTTTGGCTGACATATAAAATACTTTGGCTCATTGTGTAGTTAAAAGAGCAGTCCAGAATGACAGAAAAAAAACTGATCTTTGGTGTTTTATTACTTCTGAAGCTGCCAGTTTGCTGTTGTTTTTATAGCCAAAATACCTTACCGGATATTGAAAATGCAGAGTTTATTGAAGAATGTGTCAGAGTGCATAACAGATTCCGATCCAGTGTGGATCCACCAGCTAGCGACATGAAGCGGATGGTAAGCAAATCATCATAATCTGTAGCAATGGAAGATGTAAAATTGCTTTAATTCATGCTTCCTGCAGGTTTACAATTGCTTAAACTTTTCTAGTTCTTTTAAGAGGGTTCTGCTATGCTGAAGCTAATTCTCAGACAAGGTTCTGAACTGTTTCTGTTTCTTTTGGGGCTTTGGAAATTTTGAGAGCATATAGTAAACATCAGCTCTAAATGGAAGCTGTGAGGCCTCCCACCTTTGGCAACACAGTTGCTATGGGATACACAGCTAGTCACAAAATACCACTTATACTTTAACCCTTTAGGTTCTTTTTGTCATCCTAATATATGGTGATCTCTTTTCTGAGCAGATGGGCACATTTTCAAACAAAGAACCCATCATTTTTCCCCTACACATGTCTCTAGGATCCAAGATCTTCTGCTTTGTGGCATGTCAACTTCAAAAAAAAAAAAAGAAATTAAATTATATAATTTAAAAAGTATTTAAAAAATTAGATGGGACAGAAAGCCCAAAGGGTACCACAATACCATGCTGCTGTTCCTTGGTACTTCTGTCAAATGTTATGCTCCCTGGTCTTCTTAATATTAATATTGATGCAAAAAGAGCCATCTTTCTGGGAGGAACAAATCTGGTATTACATCAAGGCCATGTTCTCATATCATGTCACTAAGCTCACCAATGATTTGGGCAGCATACAATCACAATAAATAGGTCAAAAGTTGTAGTTTGGGGAACAGGTCTTCACCCACTTTCTCCAAGAAATGTTACTAGTATCCCATGAACCCTGGCACCGGGAACATGTTGCCAAGGCTTCATGATATCACAAGCCACTCAATGTTTGTAGCGGTAGCCACTCAATGTTTGGGGTGTATGTTCCATTCTGCCAGGCCTGGTCAGGGAGTTCTGTAATAAATACTGTATATCAGCTCTTTGTCCTAGCTCTTTCTTGGTGGTCTACATAGGCAAAATGGGACAATTGCCTTGGTTTTAGTTGTTCCAGTTCTACCCAGGTGACTGGCTAGAGTCAATTTAATCCAATGTAAGGCTGAATCTTCTGTGGGCTAAATCTAAGCCATGAGCGATTACTTGACTTGATCCAGTTAAGCACTATATTGAAAGAGAAACTACACACATGCTTGATCTTAGCCAAAAGGCTGAGAACCAATGCAAACAGGGATTACATATGTGTCCCATTTAATGTGACCAGCTATTGAGGGCAGATTTTAAATAGCAGCTGTGAGAAGAATGTCACAATCAGTATGATACAAAATGAACAAGGTACCATGATCCCAACAAGACCCCCTTCCCCCTAACAGGCTGCTACTTTTCAAAGAAGGAAAGATTCTACTTGGGACGCAACATCTTCAAGGAACAATTAGTATTGGGATTATGATGCCTCAGGGGAGGGACTAACACCTGTCCAATGTGCTGCAATCCAAATGGTGAATATAATTAACTAAACAAATCAACATAAATACATGTGAATAGGTAGATCACTTCTTTCTCTTCTTCTTCAGTGCCCATCCATGACTGAATCTGAATCCTGTCGCATCACCATCATCAATATGTTCTGTTCTGTTTTTATCTAAAGCTTTAGCTTTCAATATGTGTCCCATATGATATTGTTTCCCCAGTCTACAGTATGTGGATCATGCTATAGTTCCCGAATTTCCAATTTTCATCAATGAATCAAAAGCATAGGTATATAAATAATATTTATGCCTTTCCCGAGTTTGCTTCAAAACTAGTATGTCAGTTTGAGTTCATGGATTACATAATTATTTGTTTGATTTTGGCTTAGTGTATTTGCAAATCCCATCAAATGTAGCTTATTCAATAACATATGGTACAGTGCAATGCATAAAGAAGTCAAATTTTCACTTTTTGCATATCTATATAGATAATTATATTCATATTCATACTGACAAGTCAGGAACAAGTAGGCAGCTAGTTAGCTTACAAAACAAAATGTAATGCCAGTGCAGGAGGCATTGAATGGTTTATACCTTCCTCAATCTGCAGCAGAAATGAACTGAAGGATACAAATTATATACAAATCCATGTTTCAGGGTCAGATGGGGGAATTACTTTATAAAAGGCAATTGCATTATTTTTTAAAATAATCCAGGAATACCAAATCAAGTGATCATAGTATATTATTATGCTTCTGTAGAGCTGGGACCACGATCTTGCAAAGACTGCTCTTGGCTGGGCAAAGATGTGCATATTTGATCATAATCCTGATCTCCAATCACCAGGGAAGGCCCACCCAAACTTCACAAATGTTGGAGAAAATATTTGGACTGGAACCCTTTCGTATTTTAATGTGACTAAAGCCCTCACTCATTGGTACAATGAAGTCCAATATTACAATTATGCTACTCGAAACTGTAAACAAGTATGTGGACATTATACTCAGGTAAGTCATTAATTATACTGTACCTTGCATTATGACTTCTAAAAAGTCAATAAAACACCTGCTTCAGATTTTGACTCAGTGGTCAATAAATCAGCTCCTACTCCCACATTTGCAGGCTAAGGATGATAATAGTGATCCTGCTGAAGAGGATTGTTTATGTAACATATTGGTATCACTATGGCCCTTTTGTCATGGGTAAATGCCAAGTGTCTTTATAAAACTGAAAACTTTCTCATCGGAAGCATCAGATGATAGATAAAAGTACTGAAGTCTTAAATGTTGAGCTGAGAAGGAAATAGCAGCTGGCAGTTATTCAAAAGAAACTGGACTAATGCAGCTAGTTTACAGCTTCCAAATTGCTTGATTCCATTTGGCAAGCCTGACATACTTTAAAATTTCCTAGCAAAAGTGCCCAACATGTTAAGGCACCTGTTGAGCCACCACAAATCCCATCACACTGATGCCAACTTTTTAAAAATAATTCCCATTTTCCATGGCCTAATGGCTTTGTGCCTTACTTATCCCTATTGGTGTTTGCTGTGGCACTGCTATCGAATCCATTCTCAGGATAAGCTTAACAGCAACCCACTACCTACTCTTGCATCCATTTTATTTAATAACTGGATAAAAAAAATGTCCTTCATGTCCCTTGTATCACTATGCTTGGAATAGAGGAAAGGCTACTTCTCCTTATTAAGCCAATGAAGCCAAATATCTAGAGAAAAGAATGTGTTGGAAGAATGGAAATATAAGAAAACAAGAGAAGGCAACAATCTCACAAACAGATTTCTAAATAAAACTAATGCAGTCAACAAAGCTAATTATATACCTCTTGGCATAAAATCTTGGGTATGTTAAGGGGTTTTTGCAAGAGTATCATTTGAGAGAGGTCCTCTGGGCCTCCAACCTGAATATTGATAGGCTGGCCACTAGCCTACCTCTCTTTTCTCTACTCCTTAGATGTATAGAATGACCAGCAGAACTAGAAGCCAGCCTTTTTGGGAAGATGGATTGTTGCTTTGCCCAATCACGGAAAATGCTCCATCTGTGATACCTTGGGTCTAGCCAGCAAATCAGAAATCATCCATTTTCTAATGATCCTTGGTGGAATGATAAAGTCACAGTCAAGTTTTCATCAGTTGTTTTTATTACATAAGTGGGTTTAGGAGGAGCATTGGGAGCAAACAGAAGTTGAATCTCATTTATTCAGACCTCTCAGCATGGGGACAACTTCCCAGATGCATAAGGAAACTCTTGTGTCATAATAAACCTAGAGATTTATCACACAAAACTTAAAATACCTGACAGTTCATTCTGACCCAGTTTTATTAGTATTCAGATATGAGAGATTAACAGAAAGTGGAATTTTCAAAATAAACTCACAATCTAAGTCATTATGCACCTGTTTGAAATAAAGCTGATATGAAAAAAACAGGAGCAATGAGCTTGGTCAGGCAAAACAGGTAGTATTTCGTATAAGTTTGTTCAGGCTACATCAATACTTTAGCTGTCAGTGATTGATTCAGTGTGCCTGCAAATAAACTACTTGTTCCTTCATCTGTTTTGAACATTAACATTAAATGTTTTTCATCACCGTCATCATCAAAGCAAATGCTACAATTCACATAGCAGTTTCTTCTTTTTAGCACAACTGCTGGCTAAGTTATAGTATACACTAAATTTACCACAGAATATGCCAATTTATTTTCAGATGGTTTGGGCAACAACGTACAAAGTTGGCTGTGCTGTTCACTTTTGTCCTAGAGTACAAGGCTTTACTGGACCTAACGCTGCACACTTCATTTGCGACTATGGACCTGGGTAAGCTTTTTCAATTGCAGTTTGTATAAGAAATCATCTTAGGAAGGAAAATCTCTAACTCCTTTAGGAATTGAGAAACTGGTACCCTATGTGTGTACTCAAACCCATTCACTCCTCTTTGATATGGAAGAATTATAGCTCAAGATTAAAATCCATAGTAAAAGCAAACATTCAGTTCTATCACCAGAATGCAGACTTACTGTAGCTTTGGTAGTCATGTGCCAAATATATGCATACCAGATTACTCTAATTATATGGAATGGTTTAAATTATGATGAAAACTATCCTACAGAATATTCAGATTCCTTTTAAAGTGCTGGGGCAATTTTTAAAATCCTAAATAATTTAGGCTAACCTTTCCCACCTTTCAGATATGTAAACTATAACTCTTAAGAGTTCCAAACCAGCATGGTTAATATTATCTAAAGGAAGGCCTCACAATGGGCCATTCCTGTAGGATTGGTTAATGCCAGGGACAAAAGTATTGCAAGCAGTGTCTGTGCATCTGTGTAATCCTATTAGAGGATGAACCAAAGTGCTCTTTTTCGCTGCCCATAATCCTTAGGCTGTGAAGATCTTTTTTATAAGCTTTTCAAAGAGTTACTTCTCAGCTGAGTTTCATCATTTTATCTTGGTGGATTCAATTATTTGATACTGCTAAGATTCTAATTTTTTACTATTGTATTGTTACAGGGTGAGGGACTAAGGGACCCTGGGGAGAGTTTTTTTTAAAAAGGCAGGGTAGAAATATTGCTGAAACAAAGGCAGGGACAATAGGATATACCTGTAGTGACACGGCTGAGCTTGTAGGATGAAAAGCAGGTCCTAATCCTCTTCTCCTAAGTCCTCTGATTTTTACAACTCTTGGCCCTGCCTTAGTGACTTATTATTATAGTTATTATACTTTCTTGGAAAAGACCTTTACCTGGTATTCACCTTTTTAATCCCATCATGTGAGAGAGATAGGTCCCACATGGCTTGTGGCCTTACTTGGCAGTAAAAAAAAAAAAGTGGAAATAAAAGAAATTCTATAATGTTACCTCCTGGCCCTAGGAGGTTTTCAGATATGTGGCTAAGGGTAGTAGCTTTCCACACTTTGGGGGAATAAGATCAGTAGTACAAGGTATAATTTATAGTCAGGTTTATTAAAATTAAGAAAGAAGAAAATATAAAACCTCCTTTGTAACTTTATGTAGAACCAAAAAAAATAAATAAATCAGTGTTGGAGAAAACATATAATAGTCTAAAATCAGCATCTCTCATAAAATCCATCATGGAGAATATACACCTGGGACAGATTCAGGATGGGTGGGAACTGCTACAGAAAGAGTCCAACATAGAATAATTTAACTTGCATAAACACAATCAACTTCAGATACAATAGTTATGGAGAAGCCTATGGGTCCTCTCCCCTCTTGTGAATCCCATCACTCCCTGTGGTTCACGGAAGAGTTAAGGGAGATGAAACGAGAAAAGAGACATCTAGAGTGTCGCTGGTGTTCAATAACAGATGAATTCGACCAAACACACATTAGAGCTGCTATTAAGGCCTACCTTGTGGTAGTAAGAGCAGTGAAGTGTCAGTACTTCTTCCTTATTGCATCAGTGGATAGCTGTCCCATGGCCCTGTTTCGGATGACGTTTGGCCTCTCGGGTAGAGAGGGCTTGGAGAGCCCTTTGCAGGGGCATGCAGGAGAATGTATTCAACATCTGTCAGACGGAGTCCCTTGAATACACTCACAGTTGGATGCTGGCCTTGTTGCAGGTCTGGGGGGATGCCTGGGGAGGAGTCTTGCCCGGTTATCTGGGAATGTTTTGAACACGTTGGGTGTAAGGAATTGGACAGGATCCTTAGGAGCGTGAGCTCAGCTACCTGCCCTTTAGATCCATGCCCCTCCTGGCTTGTTAAAGCAGCCCGGGGGGTGTTGTGTGAGTGAGTTCTAGCATTGGTGAATTCATCTTTGAGTGATGGGTTGTTCCTTTATCTGTTAAGGAGGCCTTGGTTCACCCCGTCTTCAAGAAGCCATCACTGGACCCCACTATACTGGACAATTCCTGTCCAGTATTTAATCTCCCCTTTTTGAGGAAGGTAGTTGAGAAGGTAGTTGCACAACAGCTTCAGAGGACCTTGGATGAAGTGGATTATCTGGATCCCTTTCAGTCGGGATTTAGACCCAGGTATGGGATGGAAACAGCATTGGTTGCACTTTTGGATGATCTCTGGTGAGGACAGGATGGAGGGTGTGCATCCATCCTCGACCTCTCTGTGGCTTTCAATACCATCAACCATGGTTTCCTTCTGGATCAACTCAGAGGATTAGGGGTGAGCAGCACTGTGTTGTGCTGGTTCTCCTTTGTCCAGGGTCAATTGCAGTCTGCGGTTTTTTGGGGGGGGGGAGAGATGTGTGGGGTGCTGTAGGGTACGGTGCTGTCTCTGCTCCTATTCAGCATCTATATGAGACTGCTGGGTGAACTCATCTGTTGTCATGGGGTGACATATCATCAGTAGGCTGATGATACCCAATTATACATCTCTGCCCCTGGAGAATTAAGCAATGCTGTGGACATCTTATCCCAGTGCCTGAAGGCTGTGAGAGTCTGGATGGGGAACAACAGGCTTCAACTGAACCCTGGCTCTGGGCTTTGGGGCTACCAGTTTTAGGACTATGCCATCTTTGGTGCTGGCTGGGGTTGCACTCCCCCAAACACATTTGGTGCGCAAACTGGAGGTCCTCCTGGACTCACAACTCCTACTTAAAGAGCAGGTGGCAGTCATGGCTAGTGGACTACTGTAATGCACTCTACATGGGGCTGCCCTTGAAGACTATCCAGAAGCTTCAGCTGGTGTAAAATGCAGCAGTGTAGGCAGCTATGTGTGTTTCTAGAACAATACATATTACGTCTCTGCTCTGTGAGCTGCATTAGTTGCCAGTTTGCTTCCAGGTCCATTCAAGGTGCTGGTTTTGACCTTTAAAGCCCTAGCCCAGGGAACTCCAGGAGACCATGCAGATTCAATCCAGCAAGGTTTATTAGCTACAACCTCTATCAAGAATCTTCCCAGACTGGAACTAGTTCCCAGGGTCAGTCAGTAAACACAGCCTGCATTCCTCAGGGAGGTGCCAGGTCAGTCAGTAAACACAGCCTGCATTCCTCAGGGAGGTGCCAGGCTCATCCTCTTATCTCTTCCCCGTGCTTCGGGAGACGAAAGAGGATTCTTCACTCCCCGACTCTGGCCTCCATAATTCCATTCCATCACAGGGACTGCTTCTCTCTGATTATATCTGCCCATCCCATCAGATCCGGCAGAAGAGGCATGCTATGGGCCCTGTCTGCTAGGGAGCTACATTTGGCAGGTCCCAGGAGGCGGGCCTTCTCTGCCATGGTGTCCACTTTATGAAACATCCTCCCCCGAAGTGAGGCTGGGTCCATTCCTATTGATTTTCTGGAAGTCCTTCAAGACCTGGTTATGCCATCAGGCTTGGGGACAGCAGGGGACTGGTAAGATACTGAGGTGGCTTCATTGTTATTAGCATCCATTCTCTCTGAGCTTTTATTTTTAAATTTTTTAATAATTGTTTTTTATATACTAATTTAGAGTCTTATACACCACCTAGTCACTTTTTCATGAGATGGGCGGCCATATGAATTTGCCAAATAAATACCAGAAATAAAATGGGACAAACATAGCAAAAAATAAAGCAAAACGTCCTGAGGCAGCATTTTATTTAACTATTCTGTATTAATCTTTGTTCACTTGTTACCTGGGAGCTCAGGCCATGGTTTAGCTGAGTGTGTAAATTTCTCAATGTCTCATTTAATGGATATTATTTTGATAATGATGGGGACGCGGTGGCGCAGCGGCTTAATGACACTGAAAGTTGCCGGCCAGAAATGGTCGACG